TTGGTTTCAAATTAGCCTTTGTTGCCAAAAGTTAAATGTTTAGGAACACTTTCTACTGTTGAAGCAATACAGGGACCGAGATAATGCGTAGTTGGAATCTTTGTTCACTTGCTTCTGTATTGTTTATTTTTGCAAAAGCCTGTCTTCAATTTGTAGGGATTTGTACGGAAGTCTTGGCTCTTGGTTTGTAAATGACCTTTGAAGATTAATGTAATACCTTCACCCAAATATCAAATCCTGAATTTGGGAATTTGAATGAACCTGGATTGGTGGTGAGTTGCAGCCGTGAAAACGGTTCGTGGTTGAGATGATTAATCTTAGAATTTTGGATAAGCCTGAAACATAGAATTTTGGTCGGCTCGAAACTTACAGTTCTTGTTTTCCAAATACCCAAAATGGCTCATGGACCAATGTTGTATTAAAATATCCGGTTTCTTTTTCAAATGAACAAATAATCTCAACCCTTTTCCATCAAGGGCAAAGTGTTGGTAAGAGGCAAATTTTTAGCGGCCCGATGCCATTAATTAACTTTCCAGGAATAATACTCTCAACTTGTACGAAATTTCTATGACGAGGTTACCAACACCCTTGTACTCATGAACATTAAAACAATGAATCTGACCGGGTTTAAGTTCTCTAATGAAATTTTAAGTCAAAGTGAGCCGTGTCCTTGCAATTGAGGATGAATGCTACCTATACTTGGAATTACTGCAAGCTGCACAAGTTGGTTAGCCGTAGAACATAAATATTAATTTAAACGTCGGACAAAAAACGCGAAAATAAGTGGGATCTTATGGTCAAAAATTAGGGTGTGACAGGTTTTAATTGGCTTGATGTGTCTACTCTCCAAGTTTGGTGCACGTAAGTACGTTTTCTATTTTATGTCAATATCTATTAATATGTTATATCTATCATCACTTTTATTATAATGTTAATTTTAAAAATTTTCAGGTATATTCATCGTTTGTGTATTGATACTTCACAATCTGAAGTGTACGGATTTATGGACCCTGCTATGTGTTCGTACGTTGATCATGTGCCGAAAACTCAAGCAAGTGTCAAACAATACATACAAGATAAGTTACGTGACGAAAAGAGAGAGTGCCACTTGCTACCATTTATTCATGGGTAAGTTTGTATGAAATTATGTTTTCTATTTTTTAATTTTTGTAACATATATAGTTCAATTTCGGTAACATGAAATTGTGACTTTTGTGCTTCCACACACACGTACAGAGGTCATTGGCAATTAATAGTCATGTGTCCAAATGATAATACGATGGTCGTCTTTTATTCACTTCATCATGAACTTAATCAAACCATGACGAAAATTATTACAAGGTAAGTTTATCTTTTATGTTCACTTCATCCTATATACACAATTTGTTACAAAAGTAATATCATATGTTATGTGGCTTTATATGAATTTTTTTCTTCTGAATTAGTGCTTTTGGAGTTCATCAAGCGGCAAATGGGAATATAAAAAAGGCTACATGGCTTCAACCCAATGTAAGTGTGGTGTAAATTATAATTATATATTTAATTTTATCATATAAGTATTCACTAATTATGTCATTCATTTGTAGACAAGGAAACAACCTAACTCTAATGATTGTGGGTATTATGTGATGAAAAATATGTTGGATATTGTCTCTGCCAATATAACCAAATCTTGGATGAAGGTAATAAAAATGACTTTAATTTGTTATTTACTTTACGTTTTGCAACTTAATGTGAATTTTCAAAGAATAACTCTATTGTTACTTACGTGTTGTAGGTATTTGATGACCCAATGAACTTAACAAACGATGATTTGTATGATTTGCGACTCCGTTGGGCAACATGTTTCTTTGAGTTATATAAAGGTTAAGTTTTTTGTTGTTATAGTGGTCCATCGTGCAAACCTCCTTATAATTTAGTACATTTGTGTATATCCTATATCATTACTTTTGTAAATCAATTATGTGTATATATACTAGATATTTGGTGCAATGAAATTAGATTTGTGAGAAAAATAGGAAAATAACGACCTAAATATGGTCTATGTGATGTTGGAAAACTATTAAAATAGCGACCTAAATGTGGTCTATATGATGTGCACTATGGAAAATAGCGACCTAATTATGGTCTGTGTGTTGTTGGAAAAATATGAAAAAATATGAACCAAAAAAGTTACAGGGAACGGCTAAAAAATAGGCAAATAATTTATACTTTTAACAATACATTTTAAATCGGACGAACGAATAAACCGATGTAAAAAACTACCTTTTACATCGGGTGAATAAGAGAACCGATGTAAAAAGTGTCACCTAGGACTTTTCAAATCGGTCTACAAGAACCGATGTAAAAAGTGTCAGCATAAAAAAAAATTTGTTTACTGTAGAACTTTTTACATCGGGTGAATAAGAGAACCGATGTAAAAAGTGTCAGCATAATTTTTGTTTTGTTTACTACAGAATTTTTTACATCGGTTTTTCCACGCAACCGATGTAAAATGTCCACCTTTTACATCGGTTTTGCCTTAAAACTGATGTAAAAACACCCTTTTATAATTAAAATTTACGATTATATTTTTTTTTCACATCAAACTTAAAAATTTAACCGATGTTCTTGGTGTATTTCTTACATCGGTCCAAAACCCGATGTAAAATGTCTTTGATTTACTACATCGCCTGTCTTTACATCGGACTAAGACCCGATGTAAAAAGTTATTTTCGCCCGATGTAAAAAGTCATTTCTGCACTAGTGTCACACTATCATATTCCTCAGTGTCAGTTAATCCTATAAAATTTTCCTTTGGCACCTCACCTTCATTCACATCATCTAGTGAACCACTTCCTTCACATGATCCTTCCATTTCCCTTTGTGTGCTTGGTCTCCTAACCTTGCATTTCCCCTTCCCATAGCCTTTGCCTTTTGCTTTCCCATTCGCCTTTCCTTTACCTTTTGCTTTTCCCTTAATCTTCACTAGTTACTTCCTCATTATCAACTGTAATCTCTTCAACAATTCATATATCATCATCTGAATCTTCAAAGTTTACATTCAAAATATTGTCTTCACTAGCACCACCATCTTCTTAGTTACATTCAAGTCCTTCAACTTCTTCTTAGTTTCATTTTGGTCCCTCCATGCCTTCTGGGTTACACATAATCCTCTCAGTGGATCCCTCCAAAGTAACACCCTCTTCTGCATCTTCTTGGTTACAGTAATCCCCCCAGTGGTCCCCTCCAAAGTAACATCCTCTTCAACTTTTTCTTGGTTACAATTTAGTCCCTTAACTTCTTCCAGGTTACAATCAAGTCCCTCCCTAATTTCTTAATCAATGCCCTTAGTGGTCCCCTCCAAAGTAACACCATCTTTTGTATCTTCTTGGCCAATGCCCTCAATGATCCCGTTCAAAGTAACACTCTTTTTTGCATCTCCTTGGTCAATGCCCTTAGTGGTCCCCTCCAAAGTAACATCCTCTTCTACAACAATGGTCCCTCATTCTTCAAACTTGTCGGTTTCTCCATTATTCAAATCTTCAAAGTGTCTTTTTCTCCATTATTCAAATCATCAAAATTGTTCTTTTTTGCATAACTCAAATCTTCTAAATTGTCTTTTTCTCCTATCTCGCATTCTTCTTCTTTTTCTTCGGATCCTACATTATATTCTAGGAAAAGTATTGGCTCTTCAATAATATCAGGTTGTGAGAGTGGATGAATGACATATAAATGCACATTCCCATTAATCGCTGTTATGGTTTAGATCATTATAGTTAGTCGAGTTGGTCCATAAATATAATATTTTTTTAAAATATTCAATGGAAGGGACCAATTCGACTACTAGAACTATTTTTAAGGAATTACTATGTAACATTTTTTAAGTAAATAAATATAAAGTGAAACATTAAATTAAGTTAAAAGACAAAAAGATACATTAAACTTAAAATAAAAAATTGAATATCTTATATCAATACCCATAAAAATATGATAATTTTAGTTTCAATTTTGAATTAAATAAAATGTGATATAATCTTAATTTGAAAATCAAATCAAATCAAATCATATATAATCATAATTTCAATTTTGAATTAAATAAAATGTGATATAATCTTAATTTTAAAATCAAATCAAACAATATATAATCTTAAATCAATTTAAACAAATCAAATCTAAATTAACATTAAATGTCAATAAACAATCTAATTAATAAAAAATAGATAACTTTTAAAATTTATATATGCAATTAAATTAAATATACTTTGATTTTAAAATAATAATTGAAAGACTTAAATGACTAGTCCCTCTAGTTGCGTGCCGATGAGACTCAAATTCTACCATAAAAAATAATAATTGAAATCCGATCAAAACAGCTTTCAGAAAAAAATAAAAATATTTAGTATATCTTAAAATTTTAACGAGTAAACATTTTTATCAAGATAAGTATTGTACTACTAATATGCACACTAATTTGATCAAAGATAAATATTTGTATACATCAAATAAGCATTGCACAATGTAGAACGATTTGATAAAAAAATGTGCAACATAGACTTACCCTACAAATAGGTGGGTTTGGCCATAAACATAATCTTACTATAAGGTTAAGCAATCGATAGCTATTGCCCCAAAAGACTTGAACTTTTGTTATTAAAACATGCTACAGATACGCTGAAAGTACATGATAGCTATTGCCCCAAAAGACTTGAACTTTTTGTACTTGTAGTTGTAAGTCTGTTCTCAAAACATTCCCTAAAATTTACACCAAACTTAACAAAACCAAAGTAAAATTTACACCAAACTTAACAATACTATTTTTTAAGGCCACACAGAACATAACATAATTTGAATTGCAACCATACCCCATTATCATCTACTAACTGATATAACAAGTTTCAAAATTGTGACATTTGAACTGCATCATTGTCATTGAAAACCAAAAAAAGAACTACATTATATCTATCTAAACTAATATTAGCACCATCTCAAAAAACCATATATCACAGCAAAAGAAAAACTCAAGCTGAGGATTCATCATCATCATCATCATTAAAGCACTTCCCTTTCCCTTTCTTCTTCACAGATTTTCCATTCTCCTTTGTATCAAGAACCTCGTACATCTCACGTGTAACTTCCCTTAACCACAATCCAGGAAAAACACTCTGCAAATAAATCAAAATTCAAATCAAATCAGGATTTAAAAATCTTGCAGTTTTAAATTATGTAAACTTTTAAAAAATCAATGAAAAATGCAACTAACGTTTAACTGCTTCTGAACAACTTTGGGCCTCTTAGTGGGCCGTTGTCTGGGCTGACGGCCCACCATTGCCATGAAATCTTCATCGATTTCCTTTCTCGAAAGCTGGACGGAAAATTTTGGTCTTTCCGTTTTATTAGTGTTGATATTTCTTCTCAATCTCGAAGCGACATTAACGCCGCCGTCAATTTTTGCCGGCGAAGGGAAATCACGTTTTGCATGATCGGAGTGTACCGGAGGTTTAGACTGTATCTGTCTCGTTCTGTGTTTCCATGACTTAAGAGTCTCTGTTTCTTCTTGTTCTTCTCTCAAAATCGTATCTTTGATTCGATCAGCGTGGTTTTTTAGATCATGCGTAAGCTTCTCTCTCACAGCGGCGATCCCTTCTTCTTCGTCATTGCCGATGACGACTCGTTTTTCTGAACCACTCGATTGATTAGGTGTTGCCGTTGATTCGTTTGAGTTAGGCCTTGAAGAACGGCGATCGGCGCTGGTTGAAGGGCCGGCGCCGTCTTTGATGGTTGCGTATGAGCATCTCAGGTGGCGTTGGGTCCCCCACTTCAAGAACGGCAGGTTGAAATTGTGAAGGGGTTTGGGTCTTTTGGGACTCGTAGACAGAGGTTCGGTTCCTTCTTCGTCTTCTTCTTCTAAAACTCCAAACACCATTTTGAGAAGAAGAGTGAAGAGAACGAGAGGAGAAAGAATAGGGTAAACGACGGCGATGTTGAGAGTGAGAGCTGTGATGTGAAAGTGAAATGTGATGTGTTGGTGGTGGTTTGGAAAAGTGGCCGGGAAAATAAGTGAGCAAGCGGTTTTAGTGTTTGGGTTATTGTGAACACATGATTAGGATTTGGATCTTAATTTGGGTTCGATATAGTAGGTGGGTATATTATGTCATAATGTTCCCTAATTATTTTTGGATTGCTCTTCGCATTTTTAATGGTGAAGAGACTCTCTTATAAAATTCAAAAATGTCATTGAAGTAATTTGCAATTAGATTTTTGGATGTACATAATATACATCAAAATATTTTGTAAGTTAGTCATTCCAAATAATACGGATGCTAAATTTCTGTGTTGATGAAAGAGTGAGTTTGTAAAAATTTTGAAATAATTTTGAAATATATTTTAAATTTATAATAGTGTATTTATTTTACAACTCAGTGGATAATCAAGAAGTTAAGTTCTGTATTAACCTTCGACAGTAAGTTTCCTTCATGGACATTAAGTTTGTTATAAATTGATATATTTTAATAAACTTTACATTTTAAGTCATTTATACAAAAGATACATAGTTGTTATTCAATTAAACCATACACTTATGTAATTCAATCAAAACACGGTCACAATGCAAGCCATTTATTCATTGTACACAAAATACAAATTATCAAAATAAAAAGAAAAAGTCAACTACTAGGTATATTTGACCCCTCGATTTCTCTCCTGCCTCTTGTACTATAAGGCATGCCATGCATCGACTATCACGGTTTCTATAGTGCCTCTCCCAAGAGTGTCTTCTTGAAACTCTCCAATCTCTTTGCCCACTCTCCCAATAGCCACAATACACTGATCAGCTAACAACACATTAATGACATGGTCAGCCCTAATCTGATCCTCTTCCAATATTTCTTGATGAGATGACCTAGGTGGATCTCTATCTACATCTGGTGTCATGTAAGGATGTGACACTTGAAAAAACTAGTGGATGTAGTCATATACAACACTCCATGGTAGAGGGGCTAACACACTATGTACATCCTCTAAGACTAGATAATCATATTACTCGAGCGGTTCCCGTCAATGATAGGTGATGGATGGTTCGCGGGATGTGTGTCCATTCCTCATTCGCGAACGACATAAGAAAGAGGCCTCCTTGGGAGACACTATTTAGATAGTGTGCGACTATTATCCTCGCCACCAGAGTCATGTGGAGGATAATTATGCATAACCTCTAACAGTGTGGCAATCTCATTTTGAATCTTCTCTCTGTTTTCTTCGGTGCAAGAAATTCTTGGATTTTGTTATTATAATAGATTGAAAATGATAGATAAAATATCTTTTACTTTTAGTGCATTGAATAAGTCTTCAAGGTGTTAAAGAGGATGTACAAGCAGATGAAATAGAGCATGAAGAGGAGGAATATGAACCTGCATTGAAAAATGTTGATTATACGGTGGAGGGAGTAAAATATGTGGCGAAGAAGTACGATGAGTTTCTTGGAAGGACAATTGAGGAATCATCATTGAAGTTTGGAGATCATCCTATAAGGTACATTTTTTTTGTTGCAAAAATGAGAAAGAAGTGTTGTAGTGTTATTTTGAAGGATATCAATAATTAATTAAAGTTGATCATTAGCGACATTCAAACACAACTTTACTTCAAACCTGGCATCAAATGTGAGATCGAAAGAAGTTGCAGGAACAAAATTGAAGAAATTCAGGAGAATCAAAGAAATTTAAAAGAATAAAAGAAAGTTTGTTCCTATAGACAACACAATTATTTTGTATGAGAACATAAATTATATATATCATTATGACGACCACCGCGAAGGTGCTTACGGTGTGGTGGTGACAATTTACTAGTGACTGGAAAGGATACCTATATAAAAGGTTATCACTTTGACGCTGAAGTCAGTATGAGGTTGAGGTGGAACTTTGTAAGTATGAGTTAAATTGTATCTGGGTATAACTCTGGATCACATTTATATATAATACACATTTACATTCGTCTCTGGGTTAGCCATTGTTGAATGCGAATGATTATTGGATGAAGATCAGTGTCTTTAATCAAAAGGGAGGCGAGCAGTGATGCGGCACTATGTGATATCTGTCTACTATTTGGATCATAACTTGAGCTACAAGAATCAGATTTGCATGTTCTAACAGGCATTAGAAAGCTAACGCAGAGTGTTGTACCCCAAAATTTGCCCAACCTTTTCTTTACCTGGTTTATGATTCATTGCATTTTCATAGCATTAGCATTTGCATATCATTGTTCATTTGCAGGGGATTGAGAGAGGCGTGCCTAGCAAGAGGAGATCACCAGAGATTCCAAGCCTAAGCAAGAGGTCTTATTCAAGCAATCAAGAGCATATCATCATCAGAAGAAAGTCAAAAGTTCTTTGAAAGAGCAGATGAATGAATATGGTTCACCTCCTATCTTGGAGGTCATGTGGAGATCATCAGATGATATTGAGTCCATGTTTATGGATGGAGAATATTATGGGAGCTCATTGAATGCCTTGAGGGTCATTTGGGAGCTTATCCATGCCATTATACCAAGTGCAAGAAGCCACAATCAAGAGTGTTGCATCTAGGGCTTTCATCTGGTCAACCCTAAGTTGACTGTGAAATTGAAGGAGATTAAAACTCAATTCCAAGTCTTTATGAACATGGAATGTTGTGTTGAGTTATCTAAGATGTTATTCCAAGATCCAATAAAAAAGAATCAAGAGTGTGAGAAGTTGCTAAGCTAGGGTTTCTAAGCTTGTCAGTGTAAAATCCCCTGTTTAGTGCCTAACTTCAAGACCACATATCTCAAGATACAAGTTTCATCTCATCTTGATCCTAACATGAGACTTTATGAGCATGTTTCTAGCTTTCTTTTAAGTACTAGAACTCATCCATTGGGTTTCTAGAAATCAAGTTATGATGCTGACAAGTTATAGGTTCTCAGATGAATGTGATTTTGGTCAACAAAAGTCAACCAAATTCCAAGACATTTTTGACCTAGAAGGATGTTTCTCTTCACTTTGACCCAAACATTAAAGTTGTTCCTTATGTTCTTAGCTTTCCAAAAAGTACTAGAAGTCCTTCATCTGATTTGTAGAGCTCAAGATATGAAGCTTGCAAGGCAGGGGTATTTTGGGAAACTTTGATTATAGGTCATTTTGGTTATAGGTCATTTTCATGGCTTTGCACACTCCAAATGGAACTTTGTCCAACATAAAACTTGTTTCAAATGACATCCTTTCCATCATCAAACATCAACTTATCATAGGTTTGGTTTGAATTTGAGGATTGGTGAAGGAAGTCCCATGAAAAAGTACTTAAAAGCCATGAATCTGATTAAATTCATTTTGAACCATTTCATGACAAGTTTATGCATTTTTTGAGTCCCTTAAACATAACAAACACAATGCCAATATCAAAATGGAGTTTTGATGAGTTTTGACATGCCATTTTTCAAGTTACTTCACCATGAAGCTACACATCCAAAATCAACCACAAGATCATTTTAAGGAGTGAATCATGTCCATTGGATCACTCTACATGTTAAGCAAGCTATTTGAACCAAGTTCAGGGCCATTGGAGCCAAGTTCCCTCGTGAATTTGAAGCTTGAAACTCAAAATTGGATTTTTTCAATTCACCTTAACAGGCCATGATTAGGCCTCCATAAGTATTCAGATCCATTCCATATATTCTCCAGGTCATGTACAAAGCTTTAGAGGTGGATTTGAAGGAGATTGGTAACAAAATTCAGTTGCAAAAGTGGAGAAAAAAGTGAAGAAGTGAAATCAAGATTCAATCCATTTCAATCCAATTGAAGGCCATAACAAGATCCATTGAAGATTGTTGAAGCTTTCTGGTTCGTTTTCCACGAGTTTCATCTGCATTTCAAGTCTCAACGGAGAAACTTCGTTAGGTAAGCTTTCAATCACGATTTCTCTCTTCTCAAGCATCTAATCATGGCCATTTTTAGTGCATCTTGAAACCCTATCATCATAGGCCATTGCTGGATTGGTTTTGTGCTTGTTCGTGTTAATTTGTGATTCAACCTTGAAACTTGCTTGCTTTGATTTGCCCTATTTATGGATGAAAAAATGAAAACAAACCTTGGATTCTTGATGTACACATTGAGAGGAGTAGTTTAGACTCAAAAATTGTGCATTTTGGTTGAGTTTGGAACTCCCAGTACCGGAGGTACAATTGGAGAAGACGACCGGAGCATGGTGGCTCCGGCGTCTGGTTTTTACTTCTGTTGCCAGTGTGTCATCCCATGTGGAATCTTTGACTCCTTGACTTGAATGGATCAACGACCATGATTTCATGTTGACTAGCCACGCGTATTGCTGACTGCCAACACATTAATGATACTGTGCATTTTGGCCTTGAGGTTCAGCTAAGTTTGGATTCTGGGCCTAAAACAGCTATTCACACCCCTCTGAAATAAGCCCAATGGAAACTAACTGCATTTAGTTGCTATTCATCACGCTGATTTTTCCATTTTCATTTCTTTTTTTCATTTTTACATTTTATTTTCTGTTTGATTTTAATGCAAATAAAATACCTCTGATGATTATAAAAATCCCAAAAAATACTTTTTACACATTTTAGGATGTTATGTGATTTTAGAAATTTTTCACTTAATTTTTTAAGTAATTTTTCAATTAAAAATGGATTTTACATTTTGAGGTATTTTAATTGGGTTAAAATTGATATCTCCATGTGTTTGATTTTATTTCTTGGTGAATTTTCATTGTTAATAGCTGACTCTTGTTTCTCATATTGTTGACATGTTAATTGATTTTTTCAAGACCTTTTTACCCTTGTGTTGGTTACATTTGGTTAGGGTTTTATGTTAGTCTTAATGACCCTCGATTCACCCTTGCATTTAGGGCATCCCTTTGAATTTCATCTCTGTTTGCATAATTGTGTTTGGACTTA